TGCCTTCTAATTAAAATCGACCTCATCACCTCCCACTTCCTGGAGCACACTGTTAGTTTTCTTGTCATTTATGAGGCTCCGAATTGAGCAAGACTATTGGCTTTTGGGGATTTACAATAATTACTGGGCTGCTTTCAGACTTGCTGTTATGAGTTTAAAACAACGATTCTTTTAATTGGAAATTTGTTAAAGAGAAATACATGAGAATAGACACCACTGATGAGAAACCACAGAACTCAAATGGTTTTGTGATGTGTACAGCAGTCAACAAAGGTTGTGACCTTTGAGCAATGTAATTATGAGCTCACAGCTCACTGCAGTGAGTGACAGTCCTCTTATGGTGCTCAGTTTCCTACTTTCAAAGGAGACAGTGCCTGTGAGACAACAGCACAGATGGGGCCTATGTGCTACCAGCATTGTTTTTACATCAGGGTCTAATAAAGCCTTGCATGCTGATGTAAAACACAGTGTCATACACTCTTAGCTTCTTTTTACCACTCAAAGTTATGCATAACATCATAGTATCTCCCTTGCTAGAGGCTTATTCTGATTGCATGAACAGTATGACAGTTGTGTGCATAATGGCTCTCTGTAGCAGAGTAGTCCAGACACTGAATGGAAGAGATGTCTCTGCTTGATTGCATTACATGATTTGTGCTTAGACATATAAAGAGCCTTTCACCAAAAAAGAGACAGCTTTAGTTCAATATCAATGAACAAATGTCACAGACCACTAAAAATAATTATACGCCACAGCCCAATCAATGCTTTGATTATGAGTATATTGTATAAAGGTAAACAAATGATCTGCAGTTGCTGAGTAGAAGCTTTGTTTAAAAAATGGGGGGAAATTATAAAAATGGCTTTGAAAGCAAGAATGCCTTTTAATAAATGTAGCTATATCATGCCTTTGACAGCAGTAATGTACTAACAGCTACTCTGTTGTACTGTATTCACCAACAAAAGCAGAGCTCCCCCTTCTTTGTGGAGTCTGACGTTTATGACACAATAAATTATATAAATAGCCAAGAACTACCAAACTGAACAGAACCTCCTTCAAGCACATGAATCGCATGTTCTTCACTAAAACAGCCTGTGAATTAATTCTGTTGGCTTACATTTATGTTAAAATATGAAGTTAAGAATGCAAATTAATCATCTGGTGTTTATTAATACAGCATGAGCCGAGTCATGCAGTAATGTAGCCTATTACACAGCAGAACTCATTGCCCTAAAACAGATCATAAATGGTGCTCAAAAATATTGCCGCCTTGCGCCACACTGTGGTCATACTGAGTTACAGCTTCTCTTGCACTTGCATTTTGTACATTACAATGCTATAATTGTAACTTAAATCTGCATGTATCAAAATGGAACTGGAGTTTTCTTTTTACCGTGAACCGGTAAAAAGTTTTGAATCAATGACTTCGACAGCTTTAACCTAAAATCTTTGGATTTGTAATTTCGTTCTAATTTCATTAGAGCATTTTCCTGGCGAGATTGCGCTAATCATGAGTCACGTTCGAAGTTGTCACAAAATGCCGATAAAAACTTGTGACAGACAGCATATTTTATATAAAACCTTAACACCGACGCTGCTTCTGAATCAGCTGTGAACGCTTGCTGCGTGACTCCAGCGGCAAAATTTATATCAACTGCAAAGCGTCCAATGTGCAACAATATGACAGACGTCACTGTATAGAAGAAGGGCATGTAACTCGTGCACTAAAGTGTTTTGAAGGCCTAGGATAATTTTCGGTGTTCCTTTTGGTCATTTTGGTCTTTCATTACATGGAAAAGAGCGACCAGAGAATTCTCTAAAAATTGAATTTAGAAATCAGAAAGTCATGAAAGAAACAATGAGGGTGAGTAAATGTTGACCATTTTAATTTGTGGGTGAACTATTAGTTGTGCCATATGTTTTTACGTAGCTTGACAACCATAAACAGCTTGCAGGTAGACTAGCCAAATGCAGCTGTTCACAAGGGGTAAGAGGGTAAATGATGTTGTTGCAAAGTGTGAGAATTGTGGTGTGTTCATGCCGTGTCATAAATATGAAAACAAAAAACGCAGGACCGTTTCAACTCACCGAATCATTCAGACAAACTACTGAATCAACTCACTGCATTATTTCCATGTCAATGAAGTTCTGGATGGGCAGGCGAAATACTGAAACATCTTTAGCTAACTTCAATAGGCATTGGGGCTGTTTGACAATAGGGTCAATATCACTGTAGGGTGCCTTTTGCTGTCCTGTACATAAATAACTAATTTGCCATGATAACTTAACTATGAAAGGGTGTGCTAAAAACTAAAATGGATGGGGGGAGGGGGTATATCAATGTGATTGAGAATGTAATTATATTATTTATTATATAATTTTTTTCGAAGTTGAATAAATGTTTCATTGTCATATTTTGTCATGCTTTGTGTGTTCTGCTTTATGTGTCCACCCCGTCATGTGCTGGTCCACCCTGTCGTCTTGATATTTTAAAATAAATTTTTTAAATAATAATTAAATCATATCTATATAAGCCAGTGTGTTCAATAGCTGGGTGTGGGGGCAATAACATGCAAACAAAAAACTACATCCAAATATCACGGTTTTCCACAAATAAGAAAAAATACATTTGCAAATTGTATCAGTTTCTTTAAAAACACATGGTTTACATAAAATCTTTTATGTATTTATAATTTGAAAGCAAACAAATAACCCTGTTTAGGAAAGGGACATCATACCTTTCAGAAAATATAATTTGCATCTTAATATTGCAATGAAAACGTGTTTAACAGTAATATATGTGTCCATGACAGGGTGGACATATCGTATGGTTTATGCTTCGAATAATGACCCATAATTATCTAAAAAAATGTGTGGGAGCTCAGATAATATATTTCTATAGTACTTAAGTGTCTACTGTTTGTGACATGACAAAAAGCGAATGGGAAATTCCATGATAACTTAAAATAAAAATGGCTATGAAAGGGTGTGTTATATTAGGCTAAGTTTTTATATTCATAACAAAAGCATTACTTGGCTCTTTAGATACATTTTCTAGAGTTTTTTTTTAGTTTTGTATAAGGGGATGCGTGTTATTTTGCTATGTCCCATGTACTGCTCATTAAATTTGAATGAGAGTAGAATATAGCCAAATCATAAAATTAAAAAATTATCCTATTAATATTTTGTTAAAAAAAAAAAAAAGTAAACTCAATTTGAGTGTATTGATCATTTGGTAATAAAAATTAAACCAAAATGTTTGAGTATTGTGAGGGTTGAAAGGCACTCTATGGTGATATTGACCCAATAATATACACTGAAAATGAAAAATGTTAACAAATGCATTTTGGCCTATATATTTCTCTAATTATTTTGTGCATCTCAAGATCGGTATTGATTGGTGTAATTATTTATTGTGATTTTTTGAAGTTGATATTGTCATTAATATTATCAGATAGGGCTGCTCATTGGAGTCTTATTATATTGCTGTAATGAGACTCTCACAATAAGTCTCAGTTCACTGTAATGCACTGCCGCCATTGACTTGCTTTATGATTAATATTCCAAACAGAGGCTGTTAACAAGAGAAAAGAGATGCATATTTATTTGATAGACTTTATTGTGAGTGTATTGATCATTTGGTAAAAAAAAAAAATATTTTTATTTAATAAAAAAGAAGAGTTTGTCCATGTCCCTTGAATGGTTGTCCACCCTGTCATATTGGGGAATCTGCCCCTTTAAGAAAAGGCCATCCCCTTTAGTGACATTAGGACAACAGAATTTTTGTCTCTTAAGTGGTGGGAACTTCAACAGCTGAGGTGAATAATTTAGTGACTTTTCAACTAACACATTTTTTTCGTATGAGTTTGCTTACTTGCTTTGACAAAGCTTAACATGTCCACCCTGTCGGCATAAAATATGCTGGAAGTGATTAGAATACAGTATTTTCAAAATATGTAGGTTTAAATATACCAAATTCTCTTCAACAACCAGATTAAGCTACATTGAAGATCACATCAAAGTTGCATCTGTTTGTGTAATACTACACAATGTTTAACAATATTTCTAATTTTAATAGAATTTAAGACTATAATTCTATATATTTGTGATTCAATGTTATATCTTCCTTTCGTTATACAATTGGCAGGCATGAACAGACAATAAAATTCACTGAGAATCAAACAGTCAAACCTATTTAGAAATTATGACCCATTTGAATAAATTTTCTTTAAAAGGAGATAATTCTTCTGAATAGGCTATATAAAAAAGAAAGTACACAAATGTAAATATGCCAAAAAACTTAAACCAAATCATGAAGTACAAACCTCAGGCATGGGTTCCATAAGTACTGCAACATTCAAATAAATTACTGAAATTTCATTTGCCCCCAAAACTTGATTGCATCAGTGATACAGTTATTCATTAGACATTTATTAAAGCCATCATTAAACATACATATCTATCCTAACTGTTAACCACATAGAAGAGCACTGAAAGTTTGCCTGAGCCACAACAATATCACGGAGGACCATCTAGATAATCACATATGTGAACCAGTCAAGCCACTTACAATCATATCAATGGACACACTGAAGATGAGTTTTAACAACTGCATTTGTCACAAAACGGGTCAAATAAAGAACACAGACCTGTTAGGTTTAGTTTACAGTGGAGATATTGCACAACCTATATCACATCCGATTGAAGTAAAATCCTGTTTTACACAAGACCCACAACGATCACCTTTTGAGGATCAAATCAAATACAGGACGTTTGCATCGTTTGTTGAGTTAAGATCTGTACAACACTTCTATTTGGTTTAGACAGTTTACGGTACAACATTCCATTATACATATATATACACATTAACGCACCATTTGTCACAAAAGGATCACTGTGAATACACAACAGGCTGGTGAGCGGGAAAGCAGGGGAGGTTTCGGGATTGGATCAGGACTCCTTGACTAAATATATTGCCTAAAACACACCAGTATTGGGATGTTTTATCCTCACTCGTGGAAGACACTGCCGGTTCAGCTCTAAACTCCTTGGGTATGGCGAGAAGTTTCAGGAGTAGTTGGTTTAAGGATCCACATTGTGTAACTGGGATCACACTGGGACATACTAAATGCGGTTTAGTCTAAAACCCAACATGTGACGAGCATCTTCTCTAAAGATGATCTTTTTGTGAAGACGTTTGCTGCTGATGGCATCCTTGGCTTTGTATTTTGGCTTTGCGTTTTCATAGGGCCCGAGTGTAATGAACAAGCAGCTCCAAACACCTACATGCTCATCCAGGCATGCAAAACATACCTTCTCTTGATGCAACAAACCTTCCTGAGCTTTCAACCATCTCATATGTTCTCAAGTGTTACAGTATTAGTGTGCAAACATGTTTATGTAGCAATCGAATACATTCGACGGATTCCTCCCTTTACTGGCCTTCGCAATCAGTAACTCTCTACAGTAATGGGTTGGAAGACCTGATCAATGACGCTAGGTCATTGCGTCTTTCTCTTCAGGACATCCCTGAGACATATGTGATTGCACAAAACCAATCTCTTTTTGTATGCCTATCTGGCTAAGGCATATTCAACACATCGGAGGGTGTACCATTGTGTGTGTTTTGTCAGGAAAAGGGACGTCAGGGAAGCAGCGACAGCTTGCTCACGAAAAAGAAACAACGTTTTCACTACAACTACCTTATTTAGGTGCAACGACACAACACAAAGCAAGACCACCCACATTGTGCGACTACGTTCTCCTTAAGTGACATGCAAGTATCGCAAGTGGCTAGTGCTAACAGCCGAGGGGGTTAGTTTCGATGATGGAAGCTTGTGCAAAATTTAAACAACGTCACAATGGGTCATCATTGCAAAATCCAAAATCCTGCTCAAGCATGTAAAATACGGAACGATAAACCATTCGGTTACAGTACAATGTGACGCACGGTTAAAATCATTAGATGGTGCCCCTTATTGTAACAGAACATGCTTCAGACAATTAGCAGACATACTTCAGATATCATATATCTGAGAGAGCGTGGCGGTGGATGGTTTTACAACAAAATGTCCACCAAAACTTTTCATTTTCAAAAAGAATCTAGGATTATAAGTTAATAATAGGAGACTGGAATGAATAGGCAAGATTTAGCACGTGTGCTAAGTGTATGTTGGTCCAGTCACTGTGTAGGTAGTGTAAAAGGGTGCGTGCGAGTGTTTCTGTGTGTGGTATTTTATTTTCACACCTCCCTCCATCAGTTGGACTCGAAAAACTGGGAATGTGTCTAAAGAATTCAGTTATGTTAAAAGATTTAACTGCAGTAATGCTGTGATTTCTCACTTCATATTGCAGTCTTTATCAGTGCAGGCAGTGTTTTATTAATGTTGCATTGCAAATTGACGTGCACAGATCTGATGTGCACTGCAATGTGTGATATAATTGGTCCTTTCTGTGTATAATTGACGAGTGTCTGTGTTTGCATGTTTTTTTAGAGACTCCATAACCTCTCTGTCTGTGTGTGTGTTTGTGTGTCTGTGTGTGTGTGTGTGTGTGTTTATTCCACGGAGAAGAGGCTTGCAAAGGATTTCCGAAGGTTGCGGATGGTCTCAGCCTTGGCTTCGTCCTGACTAGGACTTTGGTGCTGGGCGGCCGGCGTTTCTGGAATGTTGAATGTATTGGTAAGAGACTGGGATTTGCTACAAAGAGAAGAAGTGGCAATAAAGGAGAGGAAGAGGCTATTAAAGTCATGCAGCAAACCCATGGAGACGGCTTTATAAAGGTATGGCAGAGAAAAATAAATAAGCTGTGAGAGAGAGAGAGAGAGAGAATGAAATTCAAATGCTTTCTTTTGTGTCATTCATTTAAGCAATCATGACTCAAGTGCAATGTTTACATCAGCCTTTGGACTTATGAGAAATGGCATCTCTGGATGTAGAGACATGCACTTTACTCTGCGTCATTGTTTATTCTGGGCCACTATTCCTTAATAAAGAACCAAGTGCAAAGGCACATCTCTGGAACATAAATAAATAGTATGTTTTCTTGTTTTTTTTTGGGGAAGAATCAGTTTTATATTGTATTAGTCACCTTAGAACTTAATTGAGGAATAGTGGGAATAAGATGATCACATTCATACTTGCTGACAATCGCTTGACAGTGAAAATAGATCAAATGCACATTTCCGTTCAGAAAAATGCAGTTTCCACTATCAAGTGCATGAATGGTTTGGGTGTAAGACTGAAGGAAGCCATCTTTGGCATGCAAAATACCAGATCATCTAGTGTGCATTCTGTATCTCCATTGTTTTAATTAGGCGTCTGCCTATATGTATAAGCCACATTTATCATTATCACCATTATTGTAAAATGTCATTATTATCATCACCATTATCAAAATCTGTTTATAACTATTTAAAGTCATTAAAGTCGTCATAGTATGCTTTGCAACATCTGTTCAGGAGCTTTTGGACGTGTTTATCCATTAATTTCATGCTCATCTGATGCATAGTTGGTAGTAGCTAATACACTCATGGCCAAAATATGGAATATATACTAAAAATGTATTAGATTTCAGGCAATTTTCCATTAGGCATTATCCAATTTTTGGAGCTTGCACAATTCCTATTTTGAAAAACGAAGATATTGTGATAGCTGTGTGAATTAGTAAGAACAATACAGGGTATAATGGCATCGTAATTGGCTGGCAAGTCAAGAAATGACCAATCAGACCAGTAATTAGCTGGTCAATCAGACCAGTAATTAGCCATCCAGTCTCTTATATAAAAAATAGCATTACCATGACATCACTGTGTAAAACATAGGTTTTCTGATGAATCACACTTCATTTGAACTATCCCAATACCCATGTTGAAATCTACTCATACAGCGCTTCCCATCCTGCAGCTGTCACTGTGTTCTAACTAAGACATTTAAATGCATAGTAAATTAACATTTTAAAATACATTTAAACACTTTAAAATACATTTAAACATTTTAAAATACATTTGATTGTGAATCTAAATCAAACCGGGAGGTCTGTGTTTATAACCTATACAGCATTTACCCCAATAGGTTTCCCCTAACTCACACAGTCACTGTCAATCAGCACCATCAACTTGTCATGCGATTATAGAATTTTACAATGTAGCAGAGGAGAATGGCCACCATCTATCTGATGTAGTCATTTGCGTGGGTAATGAAACATCATCAATAAATGGAAAAACAAGCCCAGATGCTAATGAATCATAAAAACCTTCACATCCAGTCAACTAAACATACAAATATGACATGACAGAGGACAAAAAACATCTTACTTAAGCTGCGGCGATCCACTCAGAGCCGGGTGATCAGGACTTGGTTTCTGTGGAGGTGTGGGTTTCTGCTGCAGGGGAGGTCGTGCACCTCCTGGACCTCCCTGGCCCTGTGCAGTAGGCCGTGGTTGCTGAGTGGTAGGAGGGCGGGGACTGCCCTGCTGTTGCGGGGCTGGTTGAGGGGCGTCCTGGCTCGGCTGTGACCCACCCTGGGTGGGCTGCCTGGTTGGCTGGCCTTGTCTTGGCTGTTGAGGCCTCTGCTGAGGCTGGCCAGCTGGTTTGGGACCCTGGCCACCAGTTTGAGGCCTCTGTTGCGGACCACCTTGCTGGGGCCTCAGTGACTGAGGAGAGCCACCCGGGCCACGCTGGGCGGGACCCTGTGCTGTGGGGGGCCTCTGCTGACCTGCGGCCCCTTGACTGGCTTGTCGCTGTGGGGGATGATTGGGCCGGGTTTGTTGGGCAGGGGGGTTCTGGGCATTAGGACTGGTCACAGACTGGGTTTGGGCAGGGGGCTGGCCCTGGGGAGAGGGACGCTGTTGGGGTGGGGCTCCTTGACGAGCAGCAGTAGTGCTAGCAGCTGCTTGTTGTGGACCTCCTAAAAACAGAGCTTATTTTTACTGTGTAAACAAGTTGTAATATAAGCATATAAGCACAAACTATTAAACACAAACTATTAACCCTTTTATCCAGAGATCTATTGGTTTTTAGAAATATCTGTCTTAATTTACTCACGCTCATGTCATTCCAAACCTGTATGACTTCCTTTTTCTGTTTGCTGAATGTCTAAAGTCTCTATTTTGCATACAGTAATAGTAATTAGTGATTTTTGCCATAAAGGCCCATTCACATCAAGATGGAAGCTTGTTACAAAAATTTGGTGCGAGAAAACATTTTAATTTGAATCAACAGCTGTTAAGATATCAGTTCAGAGCAACACAAACACTTGTGTGCCATCATGAGAATTTTTTTATTTTATTACAGAGAAGTATTCGACTCTCTTTTCCATCGCACCGCAAAGAAAATTGGCCAAACAGTAAGATTTGCGCTATTGGTCATGCCTAGAGAGATGTTGCTGTAAAATGACTTTGTGGTGCTCACAAACAGAGTATCTTGCTAAGCAACCATGAATAACAGAGGAAGAATCTGGAATCGGCAGTGAAGATGGATATTGAGCAGCTGAAGTATTTTGGTGTTGGCATGTAATACAAAAATAGGATTAACTAAAGTCTGAGTAAACAAAGAAAATATTCACTTTGTTAGAGCACATTACTAGTCTTGTGATGAGCAATTAACCTGTGAAAGTTTGTTTTCGTAATCTTTTGTCAAAATCTAAAAATTCTGGAATGCCATTCCTTCTTTGATGATGTCAGTTGAACAGGCCCTAAATCATTAAAAAAATTACTTTAAGCCACCCAGAAGCTATATTTCAAGATATTGTTCAAGGCTTGTGTGATAAACAGACCAAAACTTAACATGTTATTCACTAAAAATGTTTCCCACTCAGATTAGCAGCAACCAATAATATCTGGCATCAATTATGTCAAACCTGTTGCAGTGTATCTTCATATGGCATATTTGAAAGCTATGGGGTGGAGAAAGATTTTGAGTAATAATGATGTTTATTTATGTAGCTTATTCCCCCATAAAACTATTGTATGATTTCATAAGATTTCTGATAAGTTGTATGTACTATCTTCATGGTGCCCTTTTGTGGTACAAAATGACTATTTAGGAGTTTGGCAGTAAAAATCACTGTTTACTTTCATAGTATGTAAAATCACAGCTTAAGGATTCTTCAGAATATCTCATTATGTGTTCAACACAAGCAAGAAAGTCATACAAAATGTGAAGGTGAGTTAATGATGAATGAATTTGCATTATTGAATTATGCCTAAAAGGTTGGCTTATTATTGCAGTGTAATCCCTTACCCTGTGGAGGAGGGCGCTGTTGTGCCTGGGGGACTCTAGACTGAGAGATGGGTTGAGGTGAAACAGCTGGGACCTAAAATACACAACAAACATAGGAAGGCAGAGGATATCAGAAACCAAACCACACAGAAACAGAATGCTGGCACATACAAATTTCAGTGCAAGTTTTAGTATTTTTAGAAACACTAGTCACTTTTTAGTCACTTTTTTGGGGTCACTTTCATTAAAAAAACTTTCAAACGCCTGTAACCTCAAAAAGTGCTGAGCATCACTATAGAAACATAAATAAATGGCTGATGCCAACAAAAGTGCAGTCATTAATCTTCAGGCAATCAGTTTAGCACAAATGTGGAGGGAATTAAACCAAGCGATTTGATGCAGAGGTGATGAGAGATGATGTCTGAGTCTTTAGCTTATGCATTAAAGGCATTTCTCACTCTCTCATTCTCTCCCATCTGTGTGGCTATGAATCATTACAATCACAGCTTTGGGAATAATGGAGGATAGCAGTCTCGGCACTGTAATCAAAAAGGATCTCAGACTCAAGCTGTGACTACAAGTTTTGCATATTTCTGCTGAACAAGTTGACAATAAATACTGACTGGTGGGAGGAAACTACACCATTTTATTGTATTACTCAGCAGCTTTGCACTGCTTAATGTTGCATAATCAGAAATTACAGTTTTTATATGCATGCTTTTAGATCAGATATGCTATCAAGCAGTAGCAATATTTTGAGTGGCCAACCGAACTGCTCATTAAAATTTGATCTTTGATTTTGCATGGAGCAAAGCTTTTTTAACATCTCACATGAGAATATACAACTTTTCACACAAATGATGATTACAGGGGCAGATTATTGATTCATAAATACTTATTTTTGCACTGTTCCTTGCAGAAAAACACTTTTTCTGTAGTGCATGATTTGTAAATGAATACATCTTGGCATTTGCATCACATAACCAGCTCCATATGCATGTATTTTCTGATGTAGTAAACTTTCTCAGCAGCTCACCTGGTACAGCATTGCATTTGCTCCTGTGACACACGAGTTACAATAAAAGAGCTCAGAGACTTGTAGAAGCAAGCTAAAATTGCATGGTTGTTTCAGCAAATGCATTATTTATCTCACGTTTGTTTAGTTATTTTGTTATCTGACATTTCATTTCTAAAATGCTGCATTACGTACAACAACATTGTAACAAAACGTTGTCTGATTCACGTTCATCTGTTGCAGATAATACTGGACATGCTTTTAGAGCCACTCACAGACATTTCACTCTGAAACAAAGCGTATAAGAAGCAACGCAATATCATTTTGCAGAAATATCACCACAGACACGTTCTTGTTTTCAGGTCTAGGTTGAGAATATATGAGGATGTTTTGAAGCGAGTGTGTTAACCTGAGAACGGACTGGAGTGGGAGCTGAAGTGCGTGCCACAGTCTGGTTCATTTTAGCCACAACAAGATCAGCTATTAGAGCCCGGTCCTCATCCTGCTGGTCTCCTATGAGAGGCATTGAGCAGCCCACGACCTATTAGACACACACACACAGAGTGTTTGCCCAGGGCATTAAGGATATTTCATAGAGCTATTTTAAAAACTGATTGTTTTTGCAGATGTTGTTACCTCTATGATGTAATCTCGACCGTCTTTACCATGCAATGCCTCTACAGCGCATATATCAAGACCTCCGAAAACCTCAGAGCATACGTCCACCCACATACGATACCTGCAGGGAAAATCGCAAATGATGACCTTGTGCATTCCACTAAAAGCATCCACCCACACTGTTGCCCAGTGTAAACAAGGGAATCAGGATTACTGTAGAGCAAGACTTAATATTTGGCTTAGTATCATCGACTGCTTTGATTGAAAATCCTCTAGCAAACTAAACTCTTACTTGTTACTTGTTCAGTGTAGGCTTTTCCTGAAAAACAATTCCATCATCAATAATATAGTTTTTTTTTTTTTATCTGTAAATGACTTTTACATTATTATGATAATTAGGGCTGCACAATTTATTGAAATAAAACCAAAATTGTGATATGGCTCAATTAATTAAATGTATGTAAGTCATATTTAATAATAAAATAGATATATTTAAAATCACAAATGTTTTGGCCAAATTATGTAGCAAGAAGCAAACGAGGAACTTTTTATTTTTTATTTTTTCTGCATTCTAACTAAAATTGAATGTCATAAATGGCTAATTTGACATACTTTACATGTCAAATTATGTGAAACCAGAAACCTCAACATACAAATTATTTCAGTAAATACAATGCAATTTTCAGCATTGAATGAATTACTAATTAATTAACAAGTATATTATTATTACATTCAACATTTCTCTCGAATTTGAATTAAATGAGGTATTTTACAGGAAGAGTGGCATGTCCTATAGTGCTATCTACTAAGGCAGCTCACGAGGTTTTGGAAAAGAGCTATTAGCATGTGATATGCATAATACATAACATGTTGAATTATGCAAAATATGTCATTTTTAGATGAGCAAACATCTAATAAGGTTATCTGCTGCCATGTTATAGGAGCTGTATAATATGCCTTGTGTCGTGGAAGAAGGAACATCCGGTAAGATGTGTGTACCTGTCAGACATGGCCACCTGCTCTAACATGGCTGATCCAGTGTTGGTCTTCCAGTTGCCTGATATAGATGTCCTCCTGTCCAATAATACAACAGCAGGTATTACACAGTGTTTTACAATCAGTTCCAGTGATATTGTTAAAGGCATAGATTCCATCATGTCGTATTGACATGAAAACACTGCTATGGTTTTAGTCTCTTACATGTAGGCCTTGTAATTGTCACCGATTTTCTGGATTCGGATGTCATACTTGGCGTCAATAAAAGGCTCAGATGTGGCATACGTCTTTGTCAAAGCTACAACACTAGCAATGTCTTGGAAATCATATTGATTGTCCACTTTGACCTGTACAGAGAATTTGAATTGCACTGATATAGATGTAATCACAAAAAGACCAAACAATTCATACAATAATATATATAGGCTAGTTTGGACTTTTTACTTTTTACAGGAATGTCTAAGAAAGGGTTTCAATCATACCTTTCCCATGCCAGAGTGAGCATGACCCATCTTCACTACCACAGGAAAGCCAGGTGTGGTGATCTAATGATAAAAGAGATATATTACGATTTTTTTAAAGAAAATAATATAACACTTGTAACGTTACATTTCTATTTCAAATAAATGCTGTTGTTTTGAATGTACGATTCATCAAAGAATCCTGAAAGTTTCACAGTTTTCACAAAAATATTAAGCCACACAACTGTTTTCATAATATTAAGAAATGTTTCTCAGCATATTACAATGATTTTTGAAGGGTCATGTGACACTAAAGACTAGAGCAATGGTTGCTGAAAATTTAGCTTTGCGTCACAAGAATAAATTACATTTTAAAATATATTAAAATAGAAAACAGTTATTTTAAATTGTAATAAAATTGTACTATTTTACTATTTTTAATCAAATAAATGAATTCCTTCAAACCAAACCCAAACGTCTGAACGGTAGCATGTGTTTGTGTGTGTGTGTAGATATAAATATAGAATTCTATACATGCCATTACTCAACCATGTTTTTATTGCAAATGTTAATACGCAATATTGGCATGATATTTTTCTTATCTGAATGAATGATTTAACAGAAAATGACACCAACAACAAGTTGCTTTTCTTTGAATTGGTTATTAATAGGAGAATATGTTGCAGTCTCAGTGGTGCTTGATAGGCATCTTCTTTATATTGCTGCAGTAATTGAAATGCGAGAGCAAAATCTTTCTGCTCAGGGACAAAGTAAGCCCACTGAAAATTCAGGTTTGCATCAAAGGAATAAATTAAATTTTCAAATATATTAAAATAGAAAACAGTTATTTTAAATTGTAATAAAATTGTACTATTTTACTATTTTTAATCAAATAAATGAATTCCTTCAAACCAAACCCAAACGTCTGAACGGTAGCATGTGTTTGTGTGTGTGTGTAGATATAAATATAGAATTCTATACATGCCATTACTCAACCATGTTTTTATTGCAAATGTTAATACGCAATATTGGCATGATATTTTTCTTATCTGAATGAATGATTTAACAGAAAATGACACCAACAACAAGTTGCTTTTCTTTGAATTGGTTATTAATAGGAGAATATGTTGCAGTCTCAGTGGTGAGAGGAAAGGATTCTGGCAAAGAGTGTGTCTGGGATCATTTATGTGTGAAGATGCCTGCAGTGAAGGAATAGAAGGAGGTGGTGGCACTGTGATTTCTTTCCCAAATTGCACTGACTACTCTGAGACATATAGCCCTATAATTTCCGCGATGCGAAAACAGACTGGTTCGTAGAATCGTCATAAAAACGGAATTCCTATAGCCTAATGCGGACAGAATATGCCACATTTTGGACGAATACATCAAAAGTAGGTCAGTACACCATTCGATAATTAAATCTCTAATAAATCATGAATCGGTTAGTCGTGACTGGCAATGCTTCGGCTCGCGTGCTCTCCGCGCGAATCAATGTGTGAGAGAGAATGGAGTAGACTGTGGAAGCGCTCAGGTGGAGCAGAGAAGCAAAACTACTGTTCAAGGTTTCAACTGCAGGTCAGTTTCTTCTGTAAATATATGCTATTGTAGTTTTGTCTTTTTTTGAAAAGTAATCAAAAAGTAATCAAAAGTAATCAGTTACATTACTTTAATAAAGTAATTGAAAAAGTTACACTACTATTACATTTTAAATAGGGTAACTTGTAATCTGTAACCTGTTACATTTCCAAAGTAACCTTCCCAACACTGCACTGCAGCAAGCCTCCCCTCTCCTATTAAAACCTGAACTATGTCTATAAGAACTGTGCTGTACCAAACAATTATACTAGTCTGGAGTTTATGAAATTTCCAGTCTAGACAGGGCTATAACTATGCTAGGTTGAGTGGAGCAGTGCTGAACTGGGTCTTTTATGTTTTATGGTTTACTGCATCCAGGCACCGCTGTCCCTGCCACAGATGGGAGCTTTGTGCGGGGTCCAGTGGAACCGTCTAGACCCCTATAGCTCAGTGTTTACTGGTGAGGAGGGACAGGGACAGATGGTTAAACACTCACCATCTCCTTGTGGTTGGGGTAATAAACCTGGTCGATCAGTGGGAACTCCTCTGGACCCAACTGCTTGTACAATCTGGACAACTGAGCGAACTAATAGATGCGCGGCGACCCGCACACAGACATACATATATACACAAACATAGAGACATCTTTTATGCAGCAATAGTTACAGACATTTAATGGTAAAATTGTATGAAAGCCCTTTTGATAATGCTCTTCTCTTTTCTTCTCTTTTCTAACTGGAAACATGGAAACAGGGTTCCTACACTTTCAACCAATCATTTTTTTTCATGACCTTTTCAGTTGTTAAAAAAAACATTTTGATTGATTGTTTAAAATCATTTTGATTCATTTTGATGTTTGACAAATTAATTATTTAGTCTGATTTGTGAAGCAGCTTGACGTAATTCATTGAAAAGAATTGACTTAAAATTTATATATTTCTCACTATACAATATTAACATAAAGCTTGAACCTTTTTTTAGACTAGAGCTTGTAAATTGAATATAGAAATACAGACATTTTATAAGATTTTATGGTAACACAAATCCTTTATATATAATGCATTATCAGCTGACTCCACTGTGATGGTGATGTGACCCTGTCTCTCTCTCTCTCTCACACACACACACGTGCGCGCGCACCCACACACACACACACACATGATGTGCAAAACTCAGCATTTGAACAGTCAATAGCAAATACTTAAACTAATAACAAAACAGTAGCTGATTCAGAAGCGCCAGATTGTCATAGCAAAGTCAGAATTACCTCCTCTCCTAGGTTCACGAAACGGTCGTCCATAAAATGCATTGCTGTTCTGTTGTAAGTGATCTTAAAGATTCCTAAATGCATCTACTTTCGGAAGGCCAAATAAAGTGCTTTTGCTTTCGCCTAGAAACACACAGCGTCTCCCTGACATGGCTGCTTCAACACTAACTGCGGTTACTGAAACCACGCCTTCTTTCTTTGCGTGCACATTTGGGTGGCATTATGCAAATATTTCCACATAGTGAGGTAGATATGTGGGGGCGTGTTAGAACGAGCCGTTTTAGGGGGGCGTAGCAGAGTCTTAACTTTGATAAAGAATATCTCTTTGGTTTTGAGACTTTAGTCTTTGCAACTTCAGGGATCTTATCTATGCACAATCAGCTTGTAACACTCCAAAGAGAAAGGAAAACTTGAAATCGCATCATATGACCCCTTTAATGCTTTAATTATGCCTTGTAATGCACCTTATGATGTATTTATAATTGCATTATCTCATGAATAATTGTAACCACAATTATAATACATCATAATACTTATTTATTCATTGTTACCCTTTTAGAAAGTATAATGCATTAAAACAAAAGACAAACAAACCTTCAAATATTATAATGCATTTTAACTTTGGTTACAATTATTTATGAAATATGTAATTATAATATATATAATGCATACCTTTATAAGGCTTTAAGTAAAGTGTTACCAATTTGATTCATTTCTTTGATTTGGAAAACACTACTTTCCTTTACTTTGGGAATATGAAAATGTGTATTTTTTTTAATGAATGGAAACATATTAAAAATACATTATTAAATCCAATTGGATACATTAAGAACATCCCTAATTAGCTGATCGGTATGGATTGATGTATGCAGTGCTCACCATCCATGGTTTGTCACAGAAGTTGTAGACTGAGTGAAGGGAGTTGACACTGGGCAGACCAGCATACTGAAGTCCAATCACAATGTTTCTGTGGTCGCCATTCTTGGCCATACTAAAAGCATGCTGTCGCACCAGCACAAAATCTGGCTTGAAACACCTAAATGACCACAGAAATGTTAGTAATCATTTTAAGTAATTATACTTTGATTAATCAAAGCAAATCTATCTATTTATACAGTATATATACACAGAAGTATATGCAATACATATATGATCTTCAAATAAATCATCTTGATTGCTGCTCTAAATATTCCTAACATACATTAATTGTTTGCTGAATTAATCAACAAAGTAAGACCACTGAATTACATGTTTTCTCTGTGCAAAAAACAGATGTGAAACCTACTTTGTGATTTTGTTGCCATTGCGGATGGCCTCAATGTCCACGCTGTAGCTTCCCGTTGCGTGAACCACCAGATTAACCTCAGAGAAGTCAGCCTTGAAAATCAATGAAAATCACCAGATGGAATGAAAGGATCAATGCATGTGATCAGTAAAGTGGCGTTGTCAAAGCATTTATACTAAAACAGCACCTGAGGCCTGTGATGGGTTGCCAGTGTCGTTATGTTAAAACTATAAAAACTGCTTTTTAAAGCATACCATCCATATTTCCTTTTAAAGACAGGGTTTTTGACTGACATGTCATTAAAAAGTTCAAATCACAAAAGTGGAATTGTCAAAAGGCGTATTGAATCCTTGTGACTGCCTGGTATTCCAGAATGTTGCCAAAGTCTTACATAAATCCCTAGATTATTGTGTACTAATTACTAGTATTACATATAAAACTCTAACCAAACAAAAAATCAAGCAGTTGTTCAAAAACAAAATGTTTCTTCTGGTCGAAATTACTTTTGACTTATTGTAAAGCTGCCACCAAATCTGTCTCGTCCATGACTAATTATTTTAAAGGATATTATTCATTGACACAACAGATTAATTTTCTTTTATCCCTGTCTATAATAGATTAGATCTTGCATTTCATTACTAGAGACTGCTTTGATATATTGCCCCATCCCTTTTCACAAACACAAACAAATGCCACTGAAGAAATGACAGGCTCAATATTGCAATTGCAACTCAGAGTGATAACAATAATCTCTAGCCAGTTGATGTGTTTTAAGTCTAACATCTAATTCATTACACTGGCACATTGTTGAGTTGTACTGCTCTGTTAGTTTGGAAGAATAAAAAAAAGTCTCACCTGTTCTACTTTGATGTCAAATTCACCATGAACCTTTTTGCCTTTGAACACCTTTGCCCTGAAGAAATAAAGATGAAAAAGAAAACATTTTTGCACTTGTGAGTCATAGTTAAAAAAAAAAACTTAAACTGTGTGTACAAACTAGATTATGCAACAGTGAAATGGTGTGAAAATAATGTATTTCAAGTATTCATCAAGCATGAATTGTTTGTGTAAGGGATGCTGAGGAGTTTTGTTTCAGTGTCTGTAACTAGATTTCATGCAGCAAACTTAATAATAAAATTCAAATATTTATATGCTACTATTAACTTTAAATCCATTGTTTTTACACTTAGTCACTAAATAAAATAATTAGATGGATGGATGGAATGTTGCCTCCACTGAAAAGTTTATAAAATGCATATGAAATTAACTTTGTTGGTGGTGTTTTGGTTTTAATATTCCAGTAAATGTGTCACAAGCCCTCATGGGAAACAATGAGAGCAACATCACACACTTTAAAATTGTAAAGGTACTTGAGGCACCATATGGGGTTCCTCAGATCACCATACCAGAGGAAACTACTGGAGAACCTCCAGACATCCTAAGGGCAGTCCTCTTAGGAACCCATAAGTACTCTACACTGTCAGTCCCATTATAAAGGAAAGGCTTGCTCTTGAAATATATTTCTCAAAAAACATATAATTCCTTGATTATACATTATACAATAGGACATCTGAGCCATCCTGAAAGCGGTTCCTATAAGTTCTCCAGAGAGTTTCATCTGTGAAAACTCCAAAAGTGTCTCAATTACCTTGTCTTTTTCAAAGACTTTGTGTTAACACTATTTTTTCCCCCACGCACAGCCGGTCTACTCTTAAATCCATCAACGCAGAACCTTTTAATCTGAACTGAAAAGCTAATGTAATATACTTTGCCGTAGGGTCTTCTCCATTAACTGGCCGACTGAATTGTGAAATGCGCACAAACACACGCGCGGGCACACCCACAACTACACGGGCGCGCGTGCCAGAAAGGCCCATAGACTAATGAGTCACGACATTTGGATAGTGACTCTTTTTGGTCTGTATTAGCACGAGCTACACCTCAGGTGCGAGCCTGAAACGCGAAACAAACACTCGAATAATCTATTCATAAATCCAAGTCATACATTCAAAATACACAGGATCATATGCGTCTTACCAGTCTGTCTGCTGGTCATCAATGACCAGGAGGATCCTGGCGTTGCTCGAGCCGATTCCTCTCTCGGTGGCCTCGTTAAACGTAGCGGCGGCGGCGGCGGTGGTCTGTTTGACGGCGTTGGAAATGGAGGAAAAGAAGCCGGCGCCGGTAGACTGGCTGGGGGGTTGACGCATCTCTTGAGAGCCCGGCGAGAGCACCGGGGCTGGGCTCTGCTGCGGCGGATCGGGTCGCTGTAAATCGCTCATGTAGCCATTGGGCAAGTTGGACATGAAATTACTGTCCGATAGTCGACGTCGCAGGTAATTCATAGTGAAGATGAAAAGTGATGCGACGGTAAATTATTTCCCTGTAGGTTCTGCACGGCAAAAAAAATAAAAAATCCAAGACGAATGGAAAACCGATCAAGTATCTGATATCTAGGATGCAACCGAGCGTTTCAGTTTAAAACGAGACGCGAAAATGAGTCTATACGCAATTCTCCAGGGTGCACCTCGAAGCAAAGGTCGTGCTTCACAACATGCAAAGCTGCACTGCAACAAATGAAAGAAACCAAATCAACGCTTTAATAAAATCATGATTAAATATGCATAAATAAATACTCGTAATTAGCGTGATTGATTGACTTACATCACTCGTTCAACAATTGGCATTAAGATGTCATGCTCCTTGCATTGATGTTGAAGATGTTTAGGTCCTATTCCACGGGCGTGGAGAAAAACACTCGTAACGAAGAGGCACTTGTTAAAAGTGTGCTCGCTCGGTAAAGGTAGTAATTGTCATAAATGAAATTCGGTGAGGCAAAATCTCCGGCCAGATTCTCCGCGATCCGGTTGGGGCTTCGGAGGATGCAGGGATTGCATCACTCGTGCCATCCAATCCTAGTAATCCGCGCAGTGTTTTCCCTCGTCGTTTTTTCTGACCCATCATCAGTTTTTCCCGTTGCGCACGTTCTTTACGCACGGGACAGGTCCGGGATGTGTTGTTTAGATGCGTAAAATGATGAATGGAGAGGAGAGACGAATTTGGCATGTGCTTGTGTTCATTTTAAGGAAGCGAGAGACATCGATTGAACATCACTGACAGTGGGTGGTGCTGCCTAGTGATTGAAGAGCTTGTAACTAAAAGGTTGTAGGTTCAGACTCTGCAGGTGGCGATCCTTGAACTGTCACCATGGTGCCCTTGAGCAACACACCTAAACCCAGGTTGTACCTTTGGGACTGTCCTTGTACATTATAGGGATGCTGTAAGGGTCTTTAAAGAAAAGTCTCAGATAAATGACAATTAATTATAGGAGTGTATTATATTAGAAATAATAACTTATGCAAAATAATTTAGTTCATAGTGATGTTGGAGCAGTGTTAGAAATGAATGGTTATTTAATAATTAAAGGGCACCTTGGAATTTATTTTAAGGGACACTTGGGAATAGAATATAATGTATTGAAATACATCGTCTATGAAAAGCGAGGGTGGGTTTTCAGTACTCTGGACAGTGACTGTAGAAATACTCCTTCCTGTCTGTGTTTTCAGCACCCTGGACAGGGAATCTATATGTTCTTGATGTTGCTGTTAATAGGAGGACCGTCACTGGCTGTCACACTTTTTGCTCCAGTGAAAATGTCTCTTTGAAAGTCAATAGGGGTTATGCACACCAAACTTTTTTATTCTGTGAAACAGGTCATGTCGCTTCCAGTTCAGGTCTTTTGTATGTGCTTTGTTAAATATGACGCTTTTTTTACTCAAAGGAGATACCTAAAGATGATCATAACTGATGTCCATTGCATATGCAGATTTATATCTAAAAGATTTTTTTTTTTGTGTTCCTCACTAACATTCGGATATTGAAATTTAATAAAAGGGCAGCAAATAAATTCTGTTAATACTTTCTCTGACAAGCGGATGCAATGGGACCTGTTTTCCAGTTTGGTCAGGTGACGCCTGACATATACCCCTTTTCTGTATAGTCACATACCTTAAAGTGAGCATGAAATGAAAATGTACCCATTTATAAAATGCATATAATAGATCTTACTAAAAAAAACGTATAATGGCATGTCATAGCATAAATGTCATAACATAAACTTAATCTTCTCTAGTGACATATGCTGGATTTCTCCAATCATTTAGTCCGCTTATACCCCACCCCTTTCTTACAATTAACTACAGGCTGGCAGGCTAACTACAGGCTCAGATCTGCCTCCATTCAATCTGACAGACGGAACCAAGTCTCAGCCATACATTTTTCTTTTTTTTTTATCTGCTACACAGGCTAAGTTATAATACATTAGAAAAGATCTGTTGCTACTTCTGTTTCAGTTACAGTTATGAACTGAACATTTAACAAAACAACAACACTATAATATACAAAAAAGTAACAACTTATAATGAAAGTACAAAATGTGTGAGCTGACATTTACAAAAAATATCCTTGTCCTGAGCACACAGTTCAAGCCTTCGAATCAAATTTATTGTCATATATCTTCTTATATGCTTGACTCTTGTATGTCAGTGTTTTGTTGTATTTAGAGCTATTATGAAACATAATGAAATAGAATTCATAAAAAATATTTTACACCGTTTTGAACTAGGCATTTGAAATCAATATGCAAAAACATTGTGTAAATAACTGGCCATTTGACTCGAATGGTACTGAAATAAGTCTGTGTGACATGTAGCCCCCGTCTCCCCTGTGAAGTAATTTATCAGGAAATGGACTGACATTCAAATGGAGGAACATAATGTTTACAGGCTCCACCCAATGCAACACAATACATTAACAACACATTCACTGCCTTTGTGTTTGTATGACTCTAAGAGATATATGCATTTTAATTTTCAACCATTTCATATTCATTGATTTTGTCATTTGTACAGGTTCTTAAGCATAATTGCTATGGCCATTTCTGTTTGATAATGAAATTGGACCTCACATAGAGAGAAAGACCCAATCAATAAACAAAGCATTGCTCACATGCTTTACTTGAGTGGTGAATCAGTTACACCCACATTAGCACAAAATGGAGGTGTGGGCAGCAGCAGACACCTTCAGGCACACAATGCAATCTGAGATGTGACTTTAAGAGAGCTATTTTACCCCAGAGCTTTACAGTGGAACTGCAGTCTATAATTCCTATGTCTTTCCCCTCCTCTTCTGAACAAGCTCTGCAATGAGGGGAAAAAATTAACAAATTTCTAACGAAAACTAAAAAGAATTAATAGAGGGGAAAGCACACTCTTGAAAAATGTACATGTTTCATACTTATTTTCTGTTTGGGAATATGATAGACCACAATTTCCTTATAATACATCAAAACATACTATACATCAGTGTAAGGTTCTCACACTGAAGTATAACTTTTATTTATTTTTTATTGTTTTGTTTTTTTCAGGCTTAATTTGACAGTAAGCAACATTGCTTTATATAAAATGTTGTTTGTATAAATAATAACTATGAATTATTATAACAAATATAATTCATAATATATCATTTTTTCCTCATATACCACCATTCAAAATGTTGGGGTTGGTAAATTAAAAAGTCCCTTATGCTTATGCTACATTTATTTAATCAAAAATACTGTAAAACAGTAAAGTTTGAAATATTATTACAATTTAAAACAACTGTTTTTAAAATAACTTTTTTAATTTTAATGTTTACGATTTTTTTTTCTTATGAATTAGCAATTACTCCAGTCTTCAGTTTCATGATCCTTCAGAAATCATTCTAATATGCTCAAGAAACATTTCTTATTATCAATATTGAAAACAGCTGTGCTGCTGAATGTTTTTGTTGGAAACTGTGATGCATTGTTTTCAGGATTCTTTGATGAACAGAACGTTTAAAAGAACAACATTTATTTGAAATAGAAATCTTTTGTAACCATGTTTCTACTGTTACTTTTGATCAGTTAAATGCATCCTTTCTGAATGAAAGTATTCATTTCTTTTAACGTTTAAAAGAACAACATTTATTTGAAATAGAAATCTTTTGTAATCATGTTTCTACTGTTACTTTTGATCAGTTAAATGCATCCTTTCTGAATGAAAGTATTCATTTCTTTTAAAAATAAAAATCGTACAGACCCCAAACTTTTGAATGGTAGTTTACATCAAATCCAGTTACCATTTTAATGTTGTTGCAGCTTGTTATGCTGGCTGTATATGCTATGGTATACAGATTTTTTATTGTTGCTTTTCTCAGGCTAGTTTCTAGGTTTTATTACAGTAGCACTGAAAAACACAAAAATGAGCTCACACTCTGCAGTGAGATAAAACTCAATTATTCTGCATCACATCCTCCTTCCCTTGTTAGTGGATTCTCAGGGAGTTGTTTTACAGGGGTCCCTTTCCCTTGAGAAAACAGTTGTTATTCTCCAGCAGGAACCAGTTGCTCAAGTCTCTCCATACAGTGCACAGTATGTGTGACATGAATTGAAGTGAATTGCCACTTCTGGTGTTGACCCTAATTCTGAGCAATTACATGAACAAAGGGAGCTAATACCCTCCTTCACAAAGCTGTTCCATTAGTGAATGAGCAAAAGTATTCATAAACAAACATGTGAATGGTTCAGACAATCGGTGCCATTTAAAACAACAGACACCATTTACACCTATACATATGGAAAACCGCCATCAAGCTGCAAATATTTGACTATTTGTTAAAATACTGGTTATTCTGCAAAGGCTGTCTGAGTTTATGTAAATATATAAATAAAAATGAGCTAAGTGATCACAGTAAAAATTAGTTATAGATGAAATGAACTAGTAAACAAATAAATATCCAATTAAACAAATTCCTTCATAATTTAGTGCTGGGCAACAATCGCGATTAATGGCATCCAAAATAAAAGTTTTTGTTTATATAATATATGTGTGTGTGCTGTGTATATTTATTATTTATATATAACACATTTTTTTCCCTTAAATATATTCATGCATGTGTGTGTGTATTTATATATACATAATAAATATACACAGTACACACACATATTATTATGTCCACAAAAAACTTTTATTTTGGATGCCATTAATCACGATTAATCGTTGCCCAGCACTAGAAAAAAAGGAATTCTCTTTAAAAAAAATTTTTTAAATAAATGCTAATAATAGTAATTTGACTACAATTCCTAAACTACATGATGGAAGTGTGAAATCATGCTACATTTTTTATAAACTGAAAAGGATGGCCATTATCAAAGCCAGGCAAATAAATACATCCTAAAATAAATGAATAAATTGTGGCATAGTTGTGGATATGCTAGCCTATAGATTTATAATGTAGTCAAAAAAACATTGTTGAATGAAATGTAGTATCTTTGCAGCTGGTAAGAACAAACATTGCATTGTCTTCACCTAAAACGTAGGCTACTTGCTTCAGTCCAGTTTTTTACTCTGCCCTGAAAACGACAACAACCTCAAGCCAAAAAACGTTAAGTGCTCTACCTGTTCTGCGGGCATTTCTTCTTCTCTGCACTAAACACACTCTTTAGTATCTCCAAAGAAGCACAGATACCAAAACTGAGATATTATTGTGTATATTTCTGCATTAGACAGGATGAATTCACAAGGAATTATTGTCATTCCAGATTTATACCGCAAGAGGTCGCTCTTCCGCTTCCCACGTGACGCGCCTCCAAACAACCGCGAAATTGCTTGCTTTGTGTGCAAAGCTCTGCACTTCATTCAGTCAACACAAATATAGTCTCATTTTGGCCTGTCACTATATATTCAAATATATACATAACCTTCCATAAGCAGCTCAACGATGTCTTGTTTAACCAAACTGGAAGTTTCAGCGCTTGAATGATTGTGAGAAACTTTTCTCACTGGTTTATAGAGACACATCTGCA